GATCTGTTGCTGATCCTGCTGAAGCTCTTGCAGCTCCTCAGTGGTTAGCTCTTCCCTGTGGTCCTCCACCAACTCTTCCACATCCTCCAAATTCACATCCAACCCCATGGAACTCCCCAGTGCCACAATGGATTTAACAACTGACATAGGCTCATCAGGGTCAGCTCCAAACCCTTCAAAATCCCTCTTGTTGACACAATCTGGCCACAATTGTCTCCAAGCAGAGTTCAAAGTCCTGGTAGTCACTCCCTCCCAAGCCTTACCTATAAGGCTTATGCAATGGAGAATACTGAAGTGATCTTTCCAAAACTCTCTTAGGGTCAAGTGAGTGTCTGAGGTCACATTAAAGCACCTTTCAAACATTGCTTTGGGGTAGAGTTTTTTAAAGTTTGAAATGACCTGTTGGTCCATGGGCTGGAGGAGAGGAGTGGTATTCGGGGGCAAGAACTTTACTGTGATGAACCCAAACTCCTGCAGAATTAGGTCATTCAAGTTTGGAGGATGAACAGGTGCATTGTCCATTACTAGGAGGCACTTGAGATCCAGTTTCTTTTCCAGGAGGTAATTCTTCACACTGGGACCAAACACTTCATTGAACCACTCGACGAAAATTTCCCTCGTGACCCATGCCTTACTATTAGATTTCCAAAACACACACAATTTACTCTTCATAACATTGTTTTTCCTGAACACTCTGGGATTTTCAGAATGGTACACTAGTAACGGCTTCACTTTGAAATCCCCACTAGCATTAGCACAGAACATTAGCGTCAGCCTGTCTTTCAAAGGCTTGTGTCCTGGCAGTCCCTTTTCTTCCTGAGTAATGTAGGTCCTCTTTGGCATTTTCTTCCAAAAGAGGCCTGTTTTGTCACAACTGAACACTTGTTGTGGTTTTAATTGCTCAGTCTGTATGTACTCCTTGAATTTACTTACAAATTTTGTAGCTGCAATTTTGTCCGAACTGGCAGCCTCGCCATGCCTTACCACATTGTGTATGCCACTACGGTTCTTAAATCTCTCAAACCAGCCTTTGCTGGCCTTAAATTCACAAATATCAGTACTTGTTGCAGGCAATTTCTTTACGAGATCGTCATGCAACTGCCAAGCCTTTTCACAAATAAACGACATCATAAGACTATCTCCTGCTAATTGTTTCTCATTTATCCACACCAATAATAACTTCTCAACATCTTCGAGTACTGATGATCTCATTTTTGTCAGCATATTTACCCCCTTTGTAACAACAGTTTCCTTGATTTCCTTTTTCTTGGCCACGATGGAAGCTATGGTTGTATGGGGTTTCTTATACATCCTGCCCAGTTCAGCCACACGTACGCCACTTTCATATTGTTCAATGATGTTTTTCTTGAATTCAATCATATTTCTCACCTTCTTTACCAAAGGCTTGGCACTAGCTTTCTTTGGAGCCATGGTAGCTTATTTAGCAGGTGCAAGCACTAAAATGAATGGAATATTATGAAATATTTCGTATGAACAAGTGAAGGGACCGTCACTCACTGGTAAACAATGCCACACTGGCTGGGAAGGGAGTGCGAGGTGGCTCAGAGCCGTGAGTACACGTCCAGGACGAACGACTATTTGCGAGTCAAACGACGATTCGCAAGTCAATGTTTTGATGAAAATAAAGTTACGATTTTTAAAAATTAAGACTTTCGAGCCTTACTGTAGCAGGAAGTTACTGGGTATCTCTGGTGATGTGGTTAGAACAGTGATGGAACCATCTCTTGGTAAAGGGCATATATTATATACTGATAACTGGTACACAAGCCCCTTACTAAGTTATACTCAGTTATTTCTTGTGAGTGAACATGACAGATGTATGTGGCACAGTGCGTGGTAATTGTAAGCACATGCCCAGGTTTGACGCTGGAACTCACAGATGCGAGGTGCAGGCGTTTGCTGCCAGTGACGTCATGGCATTTCAGTGGCATGACAAACGTAATGTCACATTGTTGACATCAGTTCACCGAAACAAAACGGCAGACAATGGCAGGCAGAATAGAGACCAATGAACCCATTATAAAACCTGCAGCTGTGATGGCCTACAACCTCAATATGTGCTTAGTGGACAAATGTGACATGCAGATTGGATTTGTTGATTGTGTTTGCAAGAGTTGTAAGTGATACATAAAACTTTTTTTCCATCTTGATATTTCCATGCTGGTGAATTTTTTTGTCAGTTATCAGACAAATAATATTCAAGTATCAAGCAACAACACCTGCAATAGACCAGCGCACACGAAATTACCAACACATGTCCTCTCGTCCGAGGCCTGGTGATCACTACCCCATACCACTGCCTGCTACTACTGCCAAGAAAAATGCTCAGAAGAGGTGTTATGTCTGTGGACATATCACAAAACGCCCACAAAAACGCAGAGACGCTCGTTTTGTGTGTGAGGAGTGTAAGACACCATTGTGCTTATACCCATGTTTCAAATAATTCCACAAGCTGCAGCACTTCTAGGAAAGTGTCCAGTGATTGTACATATGTATATATATTATACAACAATCGTAATAAAAATTTTTATATTGTGTCAACAAGTTTTGTAAACAATATGATACTAGTGTTCTTACTATAATTGTGTTACATTCAATGAATGTATATATGAACATTACACCATACGTTGGTCTCACAAGCCACAGAAGTTATGTGAAAAAATAAAATAGTGAAAAAAACAAAAAAAAAAACAAGAAATCTTCGAATACATGTAAACCAAAATTTACCGGGCGAGCGACATTCGCCGCTGTTGCCATATACAGCTCATTTTCTGCCAACTTTACGCCTCTATATCTCGGTAAGTACTGATGGTAAAATTCTTTTTTGGTAATCCCAAAAAAGAATCAGAAAAATAATCTTAACATTTTCATAAGAAAAAAAAAATTTTTTTGAATACTTTTCAACAGCAGGAGACACTTCAGGATTTGGGGTCGACAATCAATGGGTTAAAACACTCAGGAAAATTGTCCCAACATTTTGGCAAAGAATTTTTTTTTTCCAAATATTTTTCGACACAGAATGAGTGTTTCAGAAATGGACGACAGTCAGAGGGTTAATGTTAACGTTAAGGTTAATTAGTCGATTAAGATTAATAAAGGCCAAGGTTAACATCAATTAATGTTAAGGTCAAGTAAGGTTAATAAAGGTCAAGTAAGGTTAATCAAGGTCAAGTAAGGTTAATCAAGGTCAAGTAAGGTTAATCAAGGTCAAGTAAGGTTAATCAATGTCAAGTAAGGTTAATTAAGGTCAAGTAAGGTTAATCAAGGTCAAGGTTAATCAAGGTCAAGTAAGGTTAATCAAGGTCAAGTAAGGTTCATTAAGGTTAATCAAGGTCAAGTAAGGTTAATCAAGGTCAAGTAAGGTTAATTAAGGTCAAGTAAGGTTCATTAAGGTCAAGTAAGGTTAATCAAGGTCAAGTAAGGTTAATCAATGTCAAGTAAGGTTAATTAAGGTCAAGTAAGGTTAATCAAGGTCAAGTAAGGTTAATCAAGGTCAAGTAAGGTTCATTAAGGTTAATCAAGGTCAAGTAAGGTTAATCAAGGTCAAGTAAGGTTAATCAAGGTCAAGTAAGGTTCATTAAGGTCAAGTAAGGTTAATCAAGGTCAAGTAAGGTTAATCAAGGTCAAGTAAGGTTAATCAAGGTCAAGTAAAGTTAATCAAGGTCAAGTAAGGTTAATCAAGGTCAATTAAATTTAATCAAGGTCAAGTAAAGTTAATCAAGGTCAAGTAAGGTTAATCAAGGTCAAGTAAGGTTAATCAAGGTCAAGGTTAATCAAGGTCAAGTAAGGTTAATCAAGGTCAAGTAAGGTTAATCAAGGTCAAGTAAGGTTAATCAAGGTCAAGTAAGGTTAATTAAGGTCAAGTAAGGTTAATCAAGGTCAAGTAAGGTTAATCAAGGTCAAGTAAGGTTAATCAAGGTCAAGTAAAGTTAATCAAGGTCAAGTAAGGTTAATTAAGGTCAAGTAAGGTTAATCAAGGTCAAGTAAGGTTAATCAAGGTCAAGTAAGGTTAATCAAGGTCAAGTAAGGTTAATCAAGGTCAAGTAAGGTTAATCAAGGTCAAGTAAAGTTAATCAAGGTCAAGTTAATCAAGGTCAAGTAAGGTTAATTAAGGTCAAGTAAGGTTAATCAAGGTCAAGTAAGGTTAATCAAGGTCAAATAAGGTTAATCAAGGTCAAGTAAGGTTAATCAAGGTCAAGTAAAGTTAATCAAGGTCAAGTAAGGTTAATCAAGGTCAAGTAAGGTTAATTAAGGTCAAGTAAGGTTAATCAAGGTCAAGTAAGGTTAATCAAGGTCAAGTAAGGTTAATCAAGGTCAAGTAAAGTTAATCAAGGTCAAGTAGGTTAATCAAGGTCAAGTAAAGTTAATCAAGGTCAAGTAAGGTTAATCAAGGTCAAGTAAGGTTAATCAAGGTCAAGTAGTTAATCAAGGTCAACTAAGGTTAATCAAGGTCAAGTTAATCAAGGTCAAGTAAGGTTAATTAAGGTCAAGTAAGGTTAATCAAGGTCAAGTAAGGTTAATCAAGGTCAAGTAAGGTTAATCAAGGTCAAGTAAGGTTAATCAAGGTCAAGTAGTTAATCAAGGTCAAGTAAGGTTAATCAAGGTCAAGGTTAATAAAGGTCAAGTAAGGTTAATCAAGGTCAAGTAAGGTTAATCAAGGTCAAGTAAGGTTAATCAAGGTCAAGTAAGGTTAATCAAGGTCAAGTAGTTAATCAAGGTCAAGTAAGGTTAATCAAGGTCAAGGTTAATAAAGGTCAAGTAAGGTTAATCAAGGTCAAGTAAGGTTAATCAAGGTCAAGTAAGGTTAATCAAGGTCAAGTAAGGTTAATCAAGGTCAAGTAGTTAATCAAGGTCAAGTAAGGTTAATCAAGGTCAAGGTTAATAAAGGTCAAGTAAGGTTAATCAAGGTCAAGTAAGGTTAATCAAGGTCAAGTAAGGTTAATCAAGGTCAAGTAAGGTTAATCAAGGTCAATAAACAATAAGGTTTTTGAGCATCTTTATTTCAACAAAAATAACATTTCTGACATATATGATGAGAGAGTTTGGGCGGCGGTGCGTAGGAGAGCGTGGGCGGGGGGGCGGGACGGGCGGGGTGGATGGTGGTGATGGCGGCGGCCGTCCGTCCAGCCGGTCCCATCTGCCGCATCGCCGCCCGCGGCGGGCGTGCGCCGCTCCCCCTTGGAATGAAATCTGAATGCGGCGGGCGGGCGGCCGCCGCCCCGCCCGCCTCAGCTCTGCGATGGTCCATGGCCACCCAGGCGGGGGAGGGGGTCGCGCCTGCCACCGCGCCAGAGCGGCGGCGGCTTCATAAATACGGGAGAAGGGGCAGGTATGGGAACTCGGGGTGTGGCGGGGGCGGCGGGGCGGGATTGGGGGGTCGTAGCGGCGGCTGGCGCCTCACGCCCGTAGCCTGAGTATTACATCTACTTATGCCTATATACACATACAGATGGGGTTAGTTTTGTACACCGAGAGCGGCTGCGGCGGCGGCGGCGCGACAACACTAGTCCACTTAACAGATCACAGATAAACACTTATCACGGCGGCTGCGGCGGCTCAGTCGTCGTCGCTGACCGGCTCCACGTTGGGCTCATAGCCCTGGGGGTGGCGTGCCCCAGTGGCAGTGGTGGTGGTGGCGGGGGTAGCCCCAGGGCCGCCCTGGCCACCATGGGTGCGGAAGCCGGGGTAGGGGTAAGGGTATTGGCTGCCCGGCCCGCCACTGCCCTGTGGGTAGCCTGCCTCACCTCCTTTGGCTGCTGCCTTGCCACCACCGCCAGCCTCCCCCGCCTTGGAAGTGGGCGGGTGGTCGCGTGGCGTTTCATCTATTACCATCTCACCCGACTGTGGCGAGTCAGCCACTTCGTCACGCGCCGCACTCTCCTCTCGTCTATCCTTGGCCACGTCAGCCCCGGTGGACCGTGGACGGGACGGTGGCCGCTGTTCACCCGGGTCCTGCCGTTGGCGTTTCTTTGCTGGATCATCCACCTCAAAGTGGGCATTCGTCTGCTGCTGTGACACAGGCGTACCAGCCCGCCGACCGTCCTCATGCACCCGCTTCTCACCATCCTGTGAGTCCGGCGTTCTCATCACCTCTGCAATCTTACAGCGGACGTACTCAAATACCTCCTTGGATTGCGGTGGATATGACCGCTTGGGGAAGTTCCAGTGAACATTCTGTTCAGTGTGGTTTGGATCCGAGGCAGGGCGGGGTGAGGAAGTAGGCGGCGATATGGGTTCCACCGGGAAGCTGGCTGCTGGTGCTGCTGGGGGCGTGCGCATCTTGTGGTCAGGACGCGGTGACACCGGTTGGGCAATGCGGATGATCTGCCGCTCGTCTGGTGCCAGGTGTTGAGTGGAGAGGTGGTGGGTACTGGGTGAGGGCGTGGTGGGTGGTGGGCGGTGTGGTGAACGAGACTCGATGCGTTCCTTGCTGTCCTTGTCGAGCCCGCTGCCGCGGACCTTCCAGTGGTCATAGCCGACCTGCGACACTGTTACTGCCGGTGGGCCGCCAGATCCAACCACTGACCGCCCATCTGTTCTCAGGATCTCAAATGGTGGCCGACTGTATGTGAGGTGCGGCGCTGACATCTTGCGGCCGTCACCACTGGTAAATTCCCGGTGGATAATCTGGTCCATGTGCGCCTGTATGGACTTTGGCCCCGAGTGATGCGCCGGTACATGTAAAGTGGCACCAAGGCCATCCTTGTGGTTGATGGGGTTGGCCGGTCGAGGGTCCGGCCCATCCTCGACCATTACCACCTCCTTCTCCTTGGATGGCGGTACGGTTGAGGTTCTGACGCGCTTGTCCAGTTCAACCACTGGCAACCCTTCACCTTCTCTTCTGAAGGTACGCTGCTCACCACCACCTGCTCCACCACTGCCTCCACCACTGCCACCATCGTTATTGTTGATCTGGTGTGTGATAATGGCATCGATTAAATTGGCCGCTGTCAGTGTGTCGCTCTGGCCACGGTTGCTGCTTTTTGGCGCTGGTGCCGCCTTGGGCTCATCCTTCTTGAAGCAGGCCGCCAGGCCCTTCGCCGCATCGTTCTCCAAATCTGGCTTTAGCTCGGCGTTTTTGGCCAGGCATCTCTGCCTTTCATACTCAGCCCTGTGTTCCAGGTAGCGGCGGTCATCTGGTTGAGGTGGTGGCACCCGTCCATCATGTGGCGTGACACGGATGTCGTGTTTTGGGTTGGAGCGTACCGTACGGTTCATGGAGTCACTCAATTGCTTTTCAAATCCTTCCATTTGCTGGGTGTCGTGATGGGGACGGTTGTCCCGCCGTATGTCTACTGCCGGGTACGCCGCGCTGCCTCGCTGTGCCACGGCAATGTCCACCAGTGCCTGAAAGTTCTCCGATCCGGGCGGATGGCGCGGGGAAAAACATCCGGTTTCTGTCCGCGGCGATGCACTCTTGGGCGGTGGTAGGTGAGGCGGCGGCTTGCTGGGTGGCCGCCGCTGGATGACACCCACTCTGGGTGGGGGGGTGGGCGTGGAGACACCGGGGGAACGGAACTCATGAGGTGATGGGGCGGGTTCACTAGTGGGTGGCGTGGGCGTGGCGTCCCTGGTTGAGGCAGGTGAGGGTGGCGGCCGGGAGACTCTCTCCTGCTGTAGATAGACAGGAGTTGATGGTGGTTGCGCTGGCGGCTGGTAGGAGCCGTGGGGTCCACTCGCCTGGTAGTACACATTACGAGGGTCCCCAGAGCTGCGCAGCTCAACCATCCTGTGGTCTATCGTCCGTGGGTCCAACCGGGGATCCAAATTTCGGCCATCCATGTTCCTGAGGTCAATGGAACGGGGATCTACTGTCCGGATGTCAATCGTCCGGTGGTCAATTCCCCTGGTGTCGATAATGCGGTTGACGGTGGTGGCGCCAGGCAAGGTGCGGTGGTCACGAGGATCCTGCTGGGGACTGTGGTCCCGGCCCCGTGGTGACACCCTAGGGTCCTTCTCGTTGACCCGCCGCCCCGGCATCTGCTGCGACGTCAGGTAGTCAGTAGCAATGATGTGGCGCGAGGTGATCTGAGATTCAGAATATGGCGGCCGGGCAGGGTAGGCATAGCTGGGGTAGGCGTACGTCGTGGTGGGTGGTGCAGTGGATATGGGCGGCCTGGGGCCCCGGTACATGTGGTCACGGTCGTACTGTGGGGCGAACGCTGGCCGAGGGATGATCTCGACGCCACTGCCCGGCCTGGGCTCAAACACCACGTCCTTGTATGGGTTGGAGCTGCCTGACCGCTTCTGGTCATGATGCATGGGCGTTCCCTGTGTGATGGAGCCACCCTCCTTTCCCATGCCAGTCTTGGGCATCATGTCGAAGCGGGTCGACTGCGACATGGGCACAGAGACTATAGGTGGCGGGTTGACCGGCGTTCCATGGGTTATGGAACCCACGTGCAACGGCTTTTCCGACTTGAGGGGAATTCTGGACGCCGTGCTGACCGCCTGCGGCGGTGGGTGTTGGTTGCGCACGGTAGTTAGTGGTGGTGGTGGCGCCATGCTCACTTTGGGTTTGGGCGGCTGCTGGGTATGCTGAGGGCGTACAGGTGTGGTGTACACCAGCGGTGATGCACCGCCGGCTACCACGCTGGTCATGATTGATGGTGGTTGATGGGACATGGTGCGGGAGTCGGCGATGTAAGCTGATGGTGACTTGCGCGGGTCTGCCAGCACCCAGGGTTCGGGTGGTGGCTTGGCATATGTTGTGTTGGAGTGCGCTCGTGGTGGTGGCTCCTTGCTGGTGATAGTGACCTCAGCACCGCCCCTCACTGTCAGTGTTGGGATGTCCCTTGGAGTGGCAGTGGGTGGCTGGTGCGTCTGCTGGGCATGCAGTGGTGGCTGGGGTGGTGGCTGGGGCGGTGAGCGGTTGCGCTTGTGGATACTCAGGTCGAGCCCCTCGCACTGCACGTCTTGTGGGTGGTATGGCGGTGCGTCGCTGGGTGGGAGACATGCTCGCGGGTCATTGTACCGCCCCGGCACGCCCAGCCGCTGCTCCCGCTGGTAATCTACCCCACCCGGCGAGGGCTGGGGTGGCGCCTGCCGCCCATGAGTTGCTTTCAAGATGGAGTGTAGGGTGGGCGGCGATTTTGTGGGCGGGTTCGGGATCTTGTCCTCCAGCGACTTTTCAATTGTTATGTAAATCAGGTCGCGAACGTTGCTAGATGACGATGAGACAGCATCTGCCGGTGCCGGCGGTGCCTTGGAGTTGGGCGGTGTGGTGTGGGGCGGCGGCTTGGTGGGCGTGATGGGCGGTGGCCGCCTCTCGCCTGGGTGGGGGATGTGCTGGACCTCAGGGGAGTCACGGCCGACGCCACTCTGGCCCTCGTCAGCGCTGGCCGTGGCCGAGGAATCATTGTCCTCCCGTACACTGGCCGGTGGCTGTGCCACCGGCGGTGGTGGCTCCTTGATTACACCGTCACTGCCACCACCGCTCTCAGCCTTCTCTCCTGCATGAAAAAAAAATACATTTTAAACAGGTCAACATAGCAACATGTGTGGTGGTCAGGTCAACATAGCAACAAGTGTGGTGGTCAGGTCAACATAGCAACAAGTGTGGTGGTCAGGGCAACATAGCAACATGTGTGGTGGTCAGGGCAACATAGCAACAAGTGTGGTGGTCAGGTCAACATAGCAACAAGTGTGGTGGTCAGGGCAACATAGCAACATGTGTGGTGGTCAGGACAACATAGCAACAAGTGTGGTGGTCAGGGCAACATAGCAACAAGTGTGGTGGTCAGGGCAACATAGCAACATGTGTGGTGGTCAGGACAACATAGCAACAAGTGTGGTGGTCAGGGCAACATAGCAACATGTGTGGTGGTCAGGACAACATAGCAACAAGTGTGGTGGTCAGGGCAACATAGCAACATGTGTGGTGGTCAGGACAACATAGCAACAAGTGTGGTGGTCAGGGCAACATAGCAACAAGTGTGGTGGTCAGGGCAACATAGCAACAAGTGTGGTGGTCAGGGCAACATAGCAACACGTGTGGTGGTCAGGGCAACATAGCAACAAGTGTGGTGGTCAGGGCAACATAGTAACAAGTGTGGTGGTCAGGGCAACATAGTAACAAGTGTGGTGGTCAGGGCAACATAGCAGCAAGTGTGGTGGTCAGGGCAACATAGTAACAAGTGTGGTGGTCAGGGCAACATAGTAACAAGTGTGGTGGTCAGGGCAACATTGTAACAAGTGTGGTGGTCAGGGCAACATAGCAACAAGTGTGGTGGTCAGGGCAACATAGCAACAAGTGTGGTAGTCAGGGCAACATAGTAACAAGTGTGGTGGTCAGGGCAACATAGCAGCAAGTGTGGTGGTCAGGGCAACATAGTAACAAGTGTGGTGGTCAGGGCAACATAGTAACAAGTGTGGTGGTCAGGGCAACATAGTAACAAGTGTGGTGGTCAGGGCAACATAGTAACAAGTGTGGTGGTCAGGGCAACATAGCAACAAGTGTGGTGGTCAGGGCAACATAGCAACATGTGTGGTGGTCAGGGCAACATAGTAACAAGTGTGGTGGTCAGGGCAACATAGCAGCAAGTGTGGTGGTCAGGGCAACATAGTAACAAGTGTGGTGGTCAGGGCAACATAGCAACAAGTGTGGTGGTCAGGGCAACATAGTAACAAGTGTGGTGGTCAGGGCAACATAGCAACATGTCTGGTGGTCAGGGCAACATAGTAACAAGTGTGGTGGTCAGGGCAACATAGCAACAAGTGTGGTGGTCAGGGCAACATAGCAACATGTGTGGTGGTCAGGGCAACATAGCAACAAGTGTGGTGGTCAGGGCAACATAGCAACAAGTGTGGTGGTCAGGGCAACATAGTAACAAGTGTGGTGGTCAGGGCAACATAGCAACAAGTGTGGTGGTCAGGGCAACATAGCAACATGTGTGGTGGTCAGGGCAACATAGCAACAAGTGTGGTGGTCAGGGCAACATAGCAACAAGTGTGGTGGTCAGGGCAACATAGTAACAAGTGTGGTGGTCAGGGCAACATAGCAACATGTGTGGTGGTCAGGGCAACATAGCAACAAGTGTGGTGGTCAGGGCAACATAGTAACAAGTGTGGTGGTCAGGGCAACATAGCAACAAGTGTGGTGGTCAGGGCAACATAGCAACATGTGTGGTGGTCAGGGCAACATAGCAACAAGTGTGGTGGTCAGGGCAACATAGCAACAAGTGTGGTGGTCAGGGCAACATAGCAACATGTGTGGTGGTCAGGGCAACATAGCAACAAGTGTGGTGGTCAGGGCAACATAGCAACAAGTGTGGTGGTCAGGGCAACATAGCAACATGTGTGGTGGTCAGGGCAACATAGCAACATGTGTGGTGGTCAGGGCAACATAGCAGCAAGTGTGGTGGTCAGGGCAACATAGTAACAAGTGTGGTGGTCAGGGCAACATAGCAACAAGTGTGGTGGTCAGGGCAACATAGCAGCAAGTGTGGTGGTCAGGGCAACATAGCAACAAGTGTGGTGGTCAGGGCAACATAGCAGCAAGTGTGGTGGTCAGGGCAACATAGTAACAAGTGTGGTGGTCAGGGCAACATAGCAACAAGTGTGGTGGTCAGGACAACATAGTAACAAGTGTGGTGGTCAGGGCAACATAGCAACAAGTGTGGTGGTCAGGACAACATAGCAACAAGTGTGGTGGTCAGGGCAACATAGCAACAAGTGTGGTGGTCAGGGCAACATAGCAACAAGTGTGGTGGTCAGGGCAACATAGCAACAAGTGTGGTGGTCAGGACAACATAGCAACAAGTGTGGTGGTCAGGGCAACATAGCAACAAGTGTGGTGGTCAGGGCAACATAGCAACAAGTGTGGTGGTCAAGGCAACATAGCAACAAGTGTGGTGGTCAGGGCAACATAGCAACAAGTGTGGTGGTCAAGATAACATGACAACAAGTGTGGTGGTCAAGATAACATGGCAACAAGTGTGGTGGTCATGATAACATGGCAATAAGTGTGGTGGTCAAGGTAACATAGCAACAAGTGTGGTGGTCAGGGCAACATAGCAACAAGTGTGGTGGTCAAGATAACATGACAACAAGTGTGGTGGTCAAGATAACATGGCAACAAGTGTGGTGGTCAAGATAACATGGCAACAAGTGTGGTGGTCAAGATAACATAGCAACAAGTGTGGTGGTCAAGATAACATGGCAACAAGTGTGGTGGTCAAGATAACATGGCAACAAGTGTGGTGGTCAAGATAACATGGCAACAAGTGTGGTGGTCAGGGCAACATAGCAACAAGTGTGGTGGTCAAGATAACATGGCAACAAGTGTGGTGGTCAAGGTAACATAGCAATATATCTGCGCCTTCAAGCAAGGGAAACCCTACTACTACTACTACGTCTACCGCTACTACTACCTGTACCACCACTACTACTACCTCTACTACCTGTACCACCACTACTACTACCTCTACTACCTGTACCACCACTACTACTACCTCTACTACCTGTACCACCACTACTACTACCTCTACTACCTGTACCACCACTACTACTACCTCTACTACCTGTACCACCACTACTACTACCTCTACTACCTGTACCACCACTACTACTACCTCTACTACCTGTGCCACTACTACTACTATGCAAAGCCTTAGCTAATGGCCACATTTGCATTTGCAGTGGTGTGTGCTTTTAAATTCAAACTGTGCAATGTTTGGATATGTTTTTCAAAACACATCGAATCAGGGCCGTTATTTTGGTATATAAAAAAAAGGTACCCCTAATGAATATTTTGGGCAGTGTCTATGGATTGAGCACAAGAAATCATCCATTAACTATTTCAACTACTCTATAGAGTGGTCAGATTTTACACAAAATTTAAATGCCAACCTAAAAATAGGGTCCATAATCAACAACATAGACACTGCCAGCACTATATCAACATTTACTCTGTTTATTAGCTCCTCACGGCATTATGCCGAGTGAGCGCCCCGGCATAATGCCGTGACGACATCTATTGGTACCTTAACTGTATTAAAGAAGCAGTTACTAACTGCTTCTTTAACACACTTAAGGTATGAACAGATGTCTACTTGGAGGGGCCAGGCAGACAGTAACTCGACACCACCACCAGCTTTGAAACGCTACACCCAGTTCCTCATTGAACGCTCACACACACCAACATTCTCTACTATTTCTTTCGTCTGGTGCCCAGCTTTGTGAAGCCCTATGATTTGAGCTATAGTTTCAGGTGTTAAAGACTTCCTTTTACCCACAATCAAACATGTATAACCCCAAAACCATAGGGAACACCAGACAAAAGATGGGGTGGATGCGAGACAAACTGATGAGTTACTTTGCAGTGTGGCAGCAGGGAGAGACGACATGCTAACGGCTGCTACCTGCTATAATGCACTAAAGGAAAAAGACCCCCCTGTATGGTAGGCCTTTGATTTTCATCATGGCATTAGGCCGGGGTGCTCATTCTACATAATGCTGTGACAAGCACTCTATATAATGTATCATATCCATTTAGAACTTTTTTTCACACAAAGAATAAAAAATTTACTCTACTTCTTTGATAATATAACCAGGAAATACTGTTCATGGTTTACAGCCTCCCAATAATTGAATTAGGCCTATTAAAAACCCATAAATAAGACTGGGGGTTGTTAGGGAGGCCTGACCCAGCCTCTGGAATATCAGCAAATATCAAATATTTCTGCTAGTTTGAGCTTAATTTCAAGCTATTTCCATTGCTGAAACCAGTAAAAAATGATCTATATTTCAGTAATATATCTTCCAGTCTATCAAAGAGACAAAGGAACCCAAAATAAAACTATAAAAAAACATACAAAAAGCACCTCAAATTTGGAGTTTTAAACCAAACACACAATCCCAGTTCTCTCTCCCGTTATGCAGTGCATGGGGCATAATTTTTTATATGGTGCACATTGATCACATAGACCTATTCTCTCATATCGAGGCCTACCAGGCTTCTTATGCTAAATTTGAAGCTGCTGGAATTTGTGCATATTACAGTATGGGCCTCGTAAGGCCTAACGATGTGTACTTAGAGCACATTTCTAGACCTTCTAGCACACAACCGTGCACCTACCATCTATGTTGTTGTAGTGTGCCGCCGCAGCCGCCGGTGGGGAGGGCGCAGAGTTGGTGTCGGAGGCAGAGTCTGGCCCGGCGGGCGGCGGAGGTACAGCGCCATCCTCCTCACAGCTTGATGTAGATGATCCGCTCTCCTCTTCATCTGTCACCGTCGGCGGGCCATCGCCCTTACCTGCAGACAACCAGTGACGACATTAATAACTATTGATAAATGACTCATACATTAGGGTCTTACATATACAGTAGGGTCTTAAATAACAAAAAGGCACAATACCATGACTGGAACAGTACACAAATAACCTGCACATAGAAGAGAGGAATCTTAGTCGTGGCTTCGTCTCTGTAGACGCCTTCCTCTCCCACTACATTGTAAAATGCTCTAAACTTCAGAACACTTGTGACTTAACCTGATTCCTCCTTTTTCTTCTCCCTCTTCCCCTTTCCTCTTTCCTTTTTCTCCTTTGGGTTGTCTTTCTTCTGCCCTGTGTATTTGTTCCTTTTATTTATTTATTTGTTTTTCCCCCCCTCGATGTTCTTGCTCTTACTCTCTGTGGGCACCTAGCTCCCTTGTGGGCACCTAGCTCCCTTGTGGGCACCTAGCTCCCTTGTGGGCACCTAGCTCCCTTGTGGGCACCTAGCTCCCTTGTGGGCACCTAGCTCCCTTGTGGGCACCTAGCTCCTTGTGGGCACCTAGCTCCCTTGTGGGCACCTTGCTCCCTTGTGGGCACCTAGCTCCCTTGTGGGCACCTAGCTCCCTTGTGGGCACCTTGCTCCCTTGTGGGCACCTAGCTCCCTTGTGGGCACCTAGCTCCCTTGTGGGCACCTTGCTCCCTTGTGGGCACCTTGCTCCCTTGTGGGCACCTTGCTCCCTTGTGGGCACCTAGCTCCCTTGTGGGCACCTAGCTCCCTTGTGGGCACCTAGCTCCCTTGTGGGCACCTAGCTCCCTTGTGGGCACCTAGCTCCTTTGTGGGCACCTAGCTCCCTTGTGGGCACCTAGCTCCCTTGTGGGCACCTAGCTCCCTTGTGGGCACCTAGCTCCCTTGTGGGCACCTAGCTCCTTGTGGGCACCTAGCTCCCTTGTGGGCACCTAGCTCCCTTGTGGGCACCTAGCTCCCTGTGGGCACTTGCTCCCTTGTGGGCACCTTGCTCCCTTGTGGGCACCTAGTCCCTTGTGGGCACCTAGCTCCCTTGTGGGCACCTAGCCTCCCTTGTGGGCACCTAGCTCCCTTGTGGGCACCTAGCTCCCTTGTGGGCACCTAGCTCCCTTGTGGGCACCTAGCTCCCTTGTGGGCACCTAGCTCCCTTGTGGGCACCTTGCTCCCTTGTGGGCACCTAGCTCCCTTGTGGGCACCTAGCTCCTTGTGGGCACCTAGCTCCCTTGTGGGCACCTAGCTCCCTTGTGGGCACCTAGCTCCCTTGTGGGCACCTAGCTCCCTTGTGGGCACCTAGCTCCCTTGTGGGCACCTAGCTCCCTTGTGGGCACCTAGCTCCCTTGTGGGCACCTAGCTCCCTTGTGGGCACCTAGCTCCCTTGTGGGCACCTTGCTCCCTTGTGGCACCTAGCTCCCTTGTGGGCACCTAGCTCCCTTGTGGGCACCTACCTCCCTTGTGGGCACCTACCTCCCTTGTGGGCACCTAGCTCCCTTGTGGGCACCTAGCTCCCTTGTGGGCACCTTGCTCCCTTGTGGGCACCTAGCTCCCTTGTGGCACCTAGCTCCCTTGTGGGCACCTAGCTCCTTGTGGGCACCTAGCTCCCTTGTGGGCACCTAGCTCCCTTGTGGGCACCTAGCTCCCTTGTGGGCACCTAGCTCCCTTGTGGGCACCTAGCTCCCTTGTGGGCACCTAGCTCCCTTGTGGGCACCTAGCTCCCTTGTGGGCACCTAGCTCCCTTGTGGGCACCTAGCTCCCTTGTGGGCACCTAGCTCCCTTGTGGGCACCTAGCTCCCTTGCAGTGCTCCTCTTTCTTAGTATTTGACTGACCCCTCTCGCTCTTACCACCTCCCCGCTACTACTTTCTTCCACCTTCATTACTACCACCACTACTACTACTACTACTACTACTACCACTACTACTACTACTACTACTACCACCACCTCCTGTCTATATATACCCATCCTGCTCTCCTTTTCATTAGTGTGACTTTGTAAATGGTTCAAGTCGGACAGAAACGTCGTCGTAAGTTCCTCTCTTCTTTGTGCCGGTTATTTGTGTATTGTTCCAGTCACGGTATTGTGCCTTTTTTTGTTATTTATGGACCTGCACTTAAGGGTCTTGTTCTTTCCAACTTTTTTAATGTTCTTCCTTCTTTTAAGCCCCTCTTTCTTTCTTATGAGGCTGGTATTATTGTTACCAGGTGTCGTAAGAATCGGCTTCGCTTTCTGTGTGACTGTCTTGCTGAACAAGTTCTGCCACCTTCCTTCTCCCATTTTCTGAAGCCCAACGCACTGGGCACTCCCTTTCCTGATCATGCTTGTCTCCTACTTCAACAGCTCATTCTTTCTACTAAATCACAGGTTGAAGATGCCTTCTTTACTTTCCGTCAACGTCAACGTGCTCTCTTTGCGGCTCTACCACAGGATCTCTGTAACTTTCTCTCTACCATTGCCTTTGACACTGCTCGCCTGAATGCACAAATTCATTCTTCCAAACTACAAAATAAACTTCAACGTCTCATCTCAGCTAGCCCTTGGTCTAAATTCTCCCTCACTGACTGTGTTACTAATCTGTCTTCTGTCTCACTCTCTCAGTATGAGCTTGAACTTCTTGGTTTTGGTCTTTCCTTTGCCACTTCACCTACCCCTCACGCTGGTATTGCCCTGATTAGCTCTTTTGATTCCTTTCGTCAATCTCGCTCCCGTAATCTTCCTGACTTGTCCACTTTTCGTGGCACTCTCCTTTCTGCTCTTGATAGTCTGTTTCCTTCCACGCCGTTACCAACTTGCTCTTTCTTCTCTTAATCCAACACCAACATTGTCATACTATCTTCTGACAAAGGTAATTCGGTAGTTATCCTTGATTGCGAGGATTACCTCCGTAAAGCTGATGTCTTGCTCTCTGACTCACGTACCTACACTCCTCTTGTTTCCAACCCTCTTGATCGCATCAAGAGAACTTTCAACAAAAAACTATGGACTCTCTCCAACCTCTGTCCTCCTGACTTGGACCTTGTTCAACGTTTTTGTGTCATCTGTCCCTCTCTGCCTTATTTCTATGGTCTTTCCAAAACTCATAAACCTGATATTCCTCTTCGTCCTATCATATCCTCTAGAGGTTCTGTCTCTTATTCTCTTGCTTCTTGGCTGGCCAAAACCCTCACTCTCTTTCTTGGTACTTTTTCTCCTGCCCACCTCCGTCACTCTCAAGACTTCACTGAACGGGTTCGCTCTCTCCCAACCTGTAAGATGCTTAGTCTTGATGTTGAGTCCCTCTTCACCAACGATGATGTCCTTGATTTTCTTAGAGAGAAGGCCAATCAAGGGTTTCTTCATCTCCCTATACCTACTGATGTCTTTCTTGATCTTATCTGCCTCTGTGTGGACTCTAATTCCTTTTCCTTGATATACCTTTGAAGAATTTCGAGAGTATATCTACTCTCTGAGCCCGGCTCGTCTAGTGCTCACCTAGTCAACCAGGCTGTTGCTGCTGGAGGCCCGCTGCCCCACATATCCATCACAGCCTGGTTGATCTGGCACCTGGTAAAGATACTTGTCTAGTTTCCTCTTGAAGGCTTCAACACTTGTTCCAGCAGTGTTTCTGATATCTTCTGGTAAGATGTTGAAAAGTCTGGGACCCCGGATGTTGATACAGTGTTCCCTTATTGTCCCCACCGCACCCCTGCTCCTCACTGGGTTTATTTTACACTTCCTCCCATATCTCTCACTCCAGGATGTTGTTTTGGCAGTGTGCAGATTTGGGACCAAGCCCTCGAGTACCTTCCAGGGATATATTATCATGTACCTCTCTCTCCTCTGCTCCAATGAGTACTTGTTCAAGACTTGCAGGTGTTCCCAGTAGCTAAGGTGCTTTACTGGCTCAATGTGAGCCGTAAATGATCTCTGTATTTGTTCCAGCTCTGATATTTCTCCTGCCCTGAATGGGACCGTCAGCACTGAACAATATTCTAAGTGAGGGAGCACTAGTGATTTGAAGTGTGTCACCATCGGCATTGTTTCCCTTGTTTTGAAAGTTCTCAATACCCACCCAGTGATCTTCCTGGCTGTCGTGATCGTCGTCTTGTTACGGTCTTTAAAAGAAAGGTCCACTGACATAATTATTCCCAGGTCTTCTAAGTGTTCCTTACGTTCTATTTGGTGACCCTCTTGAGTTTTGTATATAGTGTTCCTTTTGAGTTCTTCATTCTTTCCATACCTAAGCAGCTGGAACTTATCACCACTGAACATCATGTTGTTCTCCACTGCCCACTGGAAAACCCTGTTTATGTCTTCCTGTACTTTTTCAGTGTCCTCTGCTGTACTGACTTTCCTTCCAAGGGAAATATTATTCTCAAAACCTTCGATGTGGCTATGGGCTCTCCTCTCTCTCCTGTCTTTGCTAACCTTTACATGGAATACTTCAAGACTGTTCTTCTTCCTACTATCGACGTGAGCCCTTCACTCTGGCTTCACTATGTAGATGACATCTTTGCTCTGTGGCCTCATGACTCTTGTCTCTTCCAACCATTTCTTGATGCTCTTAACCCTTTGAGGGTCGACAGGCCCTCTCCGAAACTCGTTCTCAGGGTCGGCCAAATTTAAAAAAAAAAAAAAAATTATTTTCTCTTATGAAAAGATAGAGAATATTTTCCCGATCATAACGACACCAAAAGTTTGAAATTTGATAGAAAACTTACGGAATTATGCTCTCGCAAAGTTAGCGGTCTCGGCGATGTTTACGGATCGGCGATTTTGCCCACTTTGAGCCCCATTTTCGGCCAATTTCACTGTACTAGTCGACAAAAAACATGAATATTTCGCTAGAACTCCATTTTTTCTATCGAATGGGTGCAAGAAACCACCCATTTATAAATTCAACTATCCAGTACAGTGGTCAGAATTTAGCAATTTTGCCAATTTCACACAAATTTCAAAAGATGCCAATTTCGGAATAGGGTCCAGAATAAACAAGAAAGACATTCCTGGCACTAAAATGACATTTCCTCTAGTCATTAGTCA